GAGTTTTGAAGGTAAAGAGTGAGACCATAGATTGAAAGATATATGGTTTCATTAGTTGGGTCTATCTGTTGGGCCATGACATTATTAGATATGAGGATTTTGGGAATGTTATTGACACTCTGACACAATTGTAAATTCTTTGTATACAGGTGGTGCTTCCTTGGTACTTTGTTAATAATACTTTTCACACTTTTTATTTAAAAAAAAATCATTATCACTTAAGAGGGAGTACTGCCATCAGAGTCAAAGTCTCGGGGCTTTTATTCTCCTTTTTTGGTCTGCTTATGAGATTTACTTGGCAGATTTCGAGGTCGATATGGAAGGAAAACTTTTTCCTTGGCAGGTATTTGTTAATTTTGAATTTTCATATGCATGTTTGTACCAATTTCATTAAATAATATCAGGTGTTTCTTCTGTCCAAAAAATATTTGTTCTCTCAAAATTTATCCGGTTCATAAACAGAATCAATATCATCAGTCAATTAGAAATGTGCTCCATTGGAGTTCTTTTTTAATAGAAAAAGAACATATTATTAAGTAGGAAAGAGAAAGAGATTATAAAGAGCAAGGATATGGTATTCTCTCAAAATAGGAGAGAATCGAGGAAGAAAACCTAGAAAGAAAAGATTGCTGATTTTAAAATTCGGCATCCTCACAATTTCTTTACAGAATAGATAAAGGCTTTCCCAAAAGAACCATGTTCCTTAGCTTATAAAGAAGCCGCACATAGGATCTATACCAAATGACATGAGTATGGCTAACATAAGATTTGAAGAGTGCTTTTATCAACAATACTTCTTGCTCCTTATTCTTGACAAAATCCCTCAGATAGATAGGAAAAAGAAACACCTCAATATTGCACGGGCAAACCCAATGCTAACAAAGAGGGCAAATAACCTGTTTCAAGGTATGACCTCAAAGTAGCGGGTTTGCGTTAGCTCCCTGATTGAAAGATCTCGATTTGGGTAAAGTAGATTGAAACTGCCATTCCAATATTTAAAATTTTGAAAATATTGTCTTAGAGAGAGTCTTAGAGAGAGAAAGTCTTAGAGAGAGTTATCTGGTTTTTGCGTGGGTAATCTCGTGACAACGGACCACTCACATATAATGCCAGTGGGTCGGCGGAAATTTTTAGCGGTTGAGCAAAAAACTTTCAATGTGGTGGAGGAGGGGAATAGAGTTCGGATGTATGAGAATGGAAGGGGGTTCTGGAAGTCCATTTCTTTCAGAAAGGGGATGTGGATTGGCTTCTCCAGAGCTTTAAAAAATTTAGATAGGAGATGTTTGAAGGGGCGTGGAGTAGCTGTTGTAGAAGTAGTTGGAGATCGTTGTGCAGTGCATGACCTTGGTTGGAAATAGGTGCGGTAATTTTCTAGTGTTCTTGGAGGTGAAAGAGGGTTCTAACAGTAGAATGAATAGTGTTTT